ATCAAACCGGGGACGGTGATATTACTGGAAAATTCGACGTATTTATTTCCACTTCATTTGCGTGTTGACAAATGAGCCGCGATGGCCAGTTTGTTCAGTCAGTTCCACTTCCTCCTCCACCGTTGATGTGAGGAGCAGTGTCAGTGTGGCGATGTGGAAATCTGTGACAGAGATTAATGCACGCGGCCACAGACGACGACAGCTTCCACTTCCTTTTTGTTTTTAAAATACATTTCCCAGTTGTGTTGAGGAAGGCTGCGAGGCACGGCTACGGTCCGATTCAGTTGAAGGTGAGAGGGAGGGGCGTGATTTGACTGACAGCTGGGCTGCACCACCCTGGTGTTACCTCTACGAATCTCAGAAAGGAGGTGAAAATGCCAGCAGCAGATTCCTCACTCATAATTCACAGGAGACAGGACAAGGCACTTATGATTACTTAAAAAAGGGCTCAGCAGCAGCAGACTGGCCAAATTCCTGAACACACACACACACAGACACACACACGCTGAGGTGTTCAGACGATGTTTCACACCATTACAACCAGGTGTAATTGAGGTAAAATAATTACAAGCTTTGGTTAATGATTATTGAAACTATAATGACATGACATTAGATGCCGTTAAATGCTCTGACTTTCAGGAGTGAATTTATGACCTTTACTTTGAATGAACAATAGAATAAACAGTTTCTGTCAAACCTGACAGAAACAACAGTTATATTTACTATTTATTGATGTTTTTTTATTTTTAAATCAGAGTTACCAAAGTTTTTAAATCACATTATAATTACGTCTTCTACTTCTAACCCTTTGTTTGTAAAAGGAACGCATTCAAACCTCTGGTCAGTTCAAATTGTCCGACAAATAAAAACGGCACGTTTGGATTGTGGAAGGAATCCAGGACACAAACAGGGTAAACATGTGAATGGTTACCAAAGTGGGGGGCGGGGGCTCCCTCGGGGACACAAAACTGTTGGAGGTCGCGCAGCAGGGCTAATGTATTTTAAATATAAATATAGTTCTGAGTTTGTATATATTTATTTTTTATTTATACTGCATCAGTTTTGTTTATTTTTTATTTATACTGCATCAGTTTGATGTTACATGTAATATATTGAATATCCTCAAGTACGTAAACCAAAATTTCTTCATTTCTCCGGTTCAGCTACCAGTAGCTTCAAAGGGTTTCAGTCCGAATTTCCTTTCTGCTGTTCCTACAACAAGAAGTCGCATGTTGTCGATGGTTAATTTAAAAAATCTGTCAAAAGGAGGAAACGTAAGAAGAGAAATACAAGAAAATAATTAAAAGAAGGAGAAAGACTCAAATTAAAAGCAGATTTTTTTCTTTTGGGGATAATTAAAGCAGGATGACAAAGCCTTCCGGCTGCAGCTTAACTTGTCACCGTAAATTCACCGATACAGTGTATGCAAACATCCGCAAACCATCAACCAAACTCATTCTTGATCTTTCACACTGGCTCCCTCCCTGGTCGGGGTTCGACGCCCACTGAATGACCTGTTGATGAGCCTAGCAGGAAAATGATTTTCTCATTTATCCTGATCGTTACGCAACGTAGAGTTAAATGTTCTCCTTTAACGGATAACTTATTTTTATTGTTTTGGTTTATTTTCAGTGAGGAACGTTAGTGTTTGGAAGCTCATTAAGTTGTTCCAACATTTTGTGTTAATGTAGGGAGTACATCCCAGCGCTGCTGACCTTATTCTTTGTTTTTCCACACCTAAATAAAAGGTGCATGCTGGTCCGTCACATAATGATTATTTTGGTAGTTTGAAGGCATGTGTTTACAGTAAGTGCTGGGTTCATCCCTCAGCTCTCAGCCCTGCCTTGCTTCAGCTGTATGTTACTCTGCGTTAGTGGAGAATTAGGCAAAGGCAATTTTAGCGATGAATAATTTGGAGCATTGATCAACTTCCAGATAATTACTATTGGTAATAATATGTGGCTTAGGGCCACAGGGTGGCAGAAGTGAGCAGTGCTCTTGCCCTAAGACAGTTTGATGAGGTTTCTGTGTATGAAGTTTGAATGTTCTGTGTCAGGTTTTTTGTTACCAGCGTGAAAGCTAACTAGCGCTGTTAGCATTTCCTTTGTACGTTTTAACCTAATGACAGAGCAGTTGCTAAAATAGAAATAAGAAAAAAAAAAGATTGTACGTTTTAACGACACAGCAGTTAGTAAAATAGAAATAAAAGAATAGAAAAAAATAAAAGTAAATTGATGAAATGGAAACATCTAAAAACAATGACAGAGCAGTTGCTAAAATATTGATGAAATGGAAACATTTAAAAAATAACCAAAAATTGTTCAAACAAAAATAGCTCAAGAACAACTAAACTTAGGCTCGAGGTACTGTCGAGGTACTCTACCGCTAGGTCATATAAAAAAAACTCTTCACAGCCCACATAAAAGCCAGGATTGGCCCCAGGGCCGGACTTTGGACAAGCCTGGACTGACGCCTCATACAGTCCACATACACAAACCTTACAGGAGGGGGCGAGCTAACGTCTGCTTAATATATGGATTTCTTTGAGCTGATCTATGGGAATTCCCTGTGGCCACGGTCTTCAGGCGCTCGCCGTACTACGACCGCACATATCCTGGTCATGACTCCCAGTTAGACCTATTTGGCTGTCATCTGAAGCCGCCGACCACATCACTGTAGACTTAATGTAGACCTAATGCTGCTTTGATGTTTGCTGTGGATTTTCGATGATATTAGCCGCATTATACTTGTCACTGGAGGCGAAGGAGCTCAGACAGAAGACAAAGAATGTCCTCTTTTCTTCACTTATTTGCTTTAGATGAATTTTTGAGGTCACCGGGTTTTGGCACTGTGCAAATTTTTTAAAAATGTGGCGGGTTGGATTTTTTTTCTTTTTTTCTTTTTCTTCCTGTCGCTGAGTGGAATTTCAAATTTGATTTGCATTGACACTAACAAGAAGAGCAATCAAAGACAGTTAAATGAAAACCAGAGAGAGAGGAAGAGGGAGACAATGGGGGGAGGGTGAGTGTCGCTGCCAGGATGTTGACAAGTTGCTTTTCAGTATTAAAACAGCGCTACTTCACAGTCACACATACGCAGATGAGCTACTGCTAAAAACAGAAAGGCTCTTTTCTTTTATTGTTAGAGATTATGTGGCTGTTAGATGATGAATTCCCCAAGGAGGTAAAAAAAAAAAAAAAAAAAAAAAAGTTTGAGTGTGACTTTCATGTCAGACCTGCCCCGACAGAGAAGGAGCCAAGGTTAGAAAGACTAGAGCGGCATGAAAGAGGGAGAAGAGTGTCAGAAGACACACGGCGTCTTCAAACACAAGTGTGTGAGTGTGTGTGTGTGTGTATCACTTAAACCTTATAATGAGGAGCCTTCAGGGGGTCCAGCAGCATTTTGGCAGCTCTTCATTTCCTGATTTGGAGGAAAATAAACGCTATCTTCTCTTTTATCTTTTAAGCCGATACACACACACACACACACACACACACACACAGAGTCCCGATGTTCACGTGTGCTGCAACACACACATCTACACCTCACAACTGGGTTGTCTGTTGCTGCTTTCGCAGCCCATCGTTCTCTCTGTGTATGGACACACGGCGTAGCCTTGAGTTTAATGTGTTTAAGTGTGTGTTATAGAGAGAGAGAGAGAGAGAGAGAGAGAGAGGCTGTAATTAAGCAAGATCAAGCCCTCAGGGTTGAGGGAATTAAGCCCGACTGAAGATCAAGGTTTTGAACTCCGAGTCCGCGACATGGAAGAGTGAAAATCAGAGGTTGGAGCCAGACAGACAGATCCTGACCTCAGATAGCAGATAATAGGGGCTTCTTCCTGTCACACACACACACACACACACACACACACTTCACCACTAAACTCACTGAACTGAACAGATGTTTCCTCATGTCAATTCAAGAAAAAAAAAAAAAATCTGACATTATCTGTAATGGTTTTTAATCTCAGGCCAGAAATCCACTCTGATGTTTTACTTTCCATTCAGGTGGACGCGGTCACTAATGTCCCCTAGTGGCACAGTATAATTCAGTGTGTGAAAAAAAAACCATAAAATTATTTTCCATCAATAATCGTCATTTATAATATGCTATTTAGAATTTTGAGTAAACTTTGAAATATATATATATATATATATATATATATATATATATATTCCCAATAATTTAAAACAATGTTCCTTCAGATAAAATAAACATGGTTACTGTTCTGAGGTTCATTTAATGATGTGGGAACGCCACACTAAATCTTTACTACAGTATTTCATTGGAATTAAAACTCCATTGTCAAATTTAGTGAATGTTTTAAAAAAATCAATATTGAAACCCCATAGTAATATTTATGTATATAATAAATATATATATAAAAAACCCAAGAAAAACAATTAATTCCCCCACATACCACTAGGGGGAGCTCAAACCCGTACACGCACCATAGTTTGAGAACCACTGGTTCTCCCTTCAACGTCCTATCAGGTGTTAAACTCGTCAATGTGACTTCTTTGGTCCAAAATGATTGCGAATAATTTCGGATTTGCTGCCACCCAGAGGAAGCTAAGCGCAAGTCATCAGAGTGTTGTGAAAGTAGATTTGCCTCTGGTTACGGACTGATACGGTGCCATCAACAGAAGCAGAGGTTAGCCAAAAGTGTTCTGACTCATGAGCCAGAGAAACACTGAGGGCTGCTCCGCTGCTGTTGGATGTTTATTGGAGGAGAAGAAGTCACGGCAACAGGACAGTGAGGTCATCAGGACCACACACACACACACACACACTCACACGTGCACGCTCCCACTGATAGCACACATGTTTGGATCCATGGCAGTGTTTCATCAAACAAGTGTTTTTTGGCAGAAATTATTAAAATGATGTGAAAGTTCAGTGTTAATGTTACAAGATTCAAATGTGAAAGTTCAGTGTTAATGTTACAAAATGCAGAAAGTTAATGACGGATGATATGATGTCTCTGTTTTTATCTCCAGGCTGAAGACGCAAAATGTCAGAAAGAAGAGGTCAGAAGTCCGTCCTGCTCTCCTTATTAGTAAGTTGTTGTTTTTTTTCTCCAATTTTTTTTAATTCTTATTTCATTGCTCTCTGTACTTCGTCAGTTTCTGTCTTCATTACAATTTAAAAATAGGACTTTGAAAGACATTCAACACAAAATAATTAATATAAATCTCTTAAATCTCTTAAAACAGCATCAAGCCATGGATTAAATCTGCTCCCATTATTATCTTCCTGTTCCTTATTCATTCATGGGTATGAATCACATCTGTAATCAGCTCCACATGTGGCAGCGCTTCATTCAGACTTCAGCCGCTCCGTGCCAGGAGCTTGCACAATTCTGCAGGACTTGTACCATTTAGTCAGATTTAGAGCCTCTCCGAGATCTTACATCCGTTAAATCCGACCAGGAAGTGAGACGATCCCAGCCCGTTTTGATCTGGAAAATCACTCTCTGCCTTCCCACTCCATCACTGTGTTTTTCTCTCATCCGTCCTGGTGTGTAAATACAGGCTCACACGTAGTAGAAAGGGAAGAAGTATTTGGATTAAGCCTCTGCAACAACTCCGTGCTATTTCCAATTCTGCTTCCTGCCAAATTGTAATATAAATTCACCCTAAACTGAGGAAACCGCAATGTGGTGAACATGTGCAGAGATGTTTTCTGTATTTATGCGACACTGCTTGAGTATACACTCACTCTGGCAGTGTGATGGCTGCCCAATTGGTATGGCAGGCGGTTTGTTTTTTCAACTGTGGAAAGTAAAGAGAAGATGATCATTATGACAGTTTCCTCAGAGGCAAAGTCTAATCACTGAGAAGTTGCACAAACAGTTGGAGAAAACCTGTGTAAACAGTTCCTGTCAGTAACTCACTCCCTACAGTAAGTAACTGCAGATGACCTTTGTGGACAAATCAACAAAGGATAACGGAAACAGCAGATGTTTCGCACAAATTGAGCAATCTTTGATTGTAGGAATGTTGAAAAGGACAACGCACCAGTGTCCTTGTTCTGTGCAGTAATTTTTTTAATGTCATTTGGCTAAAGTCATTTTTGACTTGCTTCTCTGTGCAGTATTTTTTTTTTTTTTACGGCCTATCAGAGTCTGCAAATGAAGAATGATGCAACGAAACTCAACCAAACAAATGTTCAGCTAAAGTCATTTTTGACTTGCTTTCTAACAGCAAACACACAAACACATCTGCATTTTCACTGACAGGAAAGGAGGAGGTCAAAGGTCAGACCAGTAGAAAAAGTTTGTACTATGGATGGGACTATTATCAAGCCCTTCCTACTGATTGGTTGATGGATCATTAAAGGATGATTAAGGATACGTTTTCAAAATATTCTAGACGTTTTTGGAGTCTAAAAAAGTAGAAAAAGTACTAATTTAAAAAAAGTGGAAAGAATATTTTTCAAATGAAGAAAGAAAATATAAATGACCACATTTTTAAAAAAAATATCCTTGGATCAGAATTGGTCCACAGACCAGAGGCTGGAAACCCCTGCTCTCTCACCACCCCCCAGTATAAAGTACACTGTAGTTTACAGTATTAGGTATAAATAGTTTGAATGGAGTGAAAAGCCTCTTATTAAATTAGCATTTACAGCATTCTGCAACAAAGACCTTTTTTTTTCCTGAGACTTTCTGCCAGAAACCACATATTTCCGTCCGTTTCTTGTACGGTATAAGGTCTAGTGTCATAATATGGTTAGGAGGAAAAAGAGGGAGACGTTACTAGAACAATAGAGAGAGTCTGGAGGGAATCAGTCATGCACTGGTTTACTTTCCCTCCTTTATTTTCTGGACCGCAGATGATTTTTAGAAGTCGGTTAGTTTGTTTGCAAATGCACAAAGTATGCTGGTTAGGCCATAAAAAACAGATGCTACTTATTAGATTGAGCCACTATGAGACAATGCCACACACACACACACGAGGACACACACAGACCGACAGACACACGAGCAAATGCAGCTATTGTGTGAAAAAAAAAAAAAGAAAAAAAAAAGCTCTCGTTCACACACGGCTAACACTCATCTGCGCTAATCGCAGTATCACAGATGAAGATGTTGGGATGTTTGTTTTCTTTGTTGTTTGGTTTGTGACAATTAAAATCCATTATGCAGATTGTTCTCACTGAACGAGCAGGGACGCCGTCCAATGTCGTCATTGGACCACTTGTCTCCGTTGTTGTTGTCTGGAGCAGAAAGAGCCAAAGATGGTGTGTGTGTGTGTGTTGTTTTCACACTTAGGGGGAAAATATCCTTAACACGTAGCTACAATTAATTTGCACGTCAGCAATCCACCAGGGACGTGATTCACAGTCAGACTAGGGCAACTTTATTGATCCCAAAGGGGCAGTTGATGTTGAATGAACCCAAACCACAAATACACAATCCACAATCAGTGTCATTGTCACGGATAAGTGAGCAAAACAGAGCCTGGTGCAAAGATGCAAAGTCTCAGCGACCCACGCAGCCTGCCACAGGGGGTCGCCAAAAGGTCTTTACCTCAACTAAGGACTGAAATCCAGTTCTTCTTCCAGGTTCTGGAAAAATCCAGATGCTGATGTATCAATATCAAATTATTTAAACCCCTTCCCAATCAAGTTTGTCCAAAAATGTCTGGTTTTCTCAGCTTTCAAAATAGTTCATTTTCTTCAGAAAACCTTTTTTAAAATCAAAAACTAATTTCGTCCTAAATTCAAAATAGTTAAAATCAAAAACTAATTTCGTCCTAATACCGACCCAGATTATCGGACTGGACCATTCCTACAGCCTTATCTAAATCAGTCCTTCAGTGTTGGTGGCCCATTGGGCTCCACACCAGTGTAAAATGTTCTGCCTTTCTTTGTTGACTCCAAAAACACATCCCTGTATTAATCACCATTTCTCCACCTCCTCCTGTCCCTGTTCAGGTGTGCTGCATGTTTGCTAGCGCGGAGCATACCAGTTGCGGAGAGTACGAGTTCTTCAACCAGACCAGCAACAGCTGCCAGGCCTGTCCTCAGTGCCAACCGGGACAAGAGCCGCATATGGTGAGACCGCCGACGGCCCGCACACATGCATGCGCTCGCTGCGACCACCATGTGAAAATTAGTAACATTTTTGATTGTTGCGATAAATTAAAGGACTTTATTGCATACCTTGGACGATGTCATTGCCGGAAGACGAGCGTGGGATAAAGACGAAGACACACACGATTGATTAATACCATAAAAATCGAACTTTCTTTTTCTCCTCAGACCACCCACCGTACATATACACAAACACACAGAGGTTCACACGGAGCTGCACAATGGAACTGCTTAAATTTTTATTTTTATTTTTATTATGGTTTATTGCTTCCATTGCCTGTGCCGTGACGGCATGCATTAGAATAAATGGATGGCAGTAGGCACGCAGTGATTTATCCTCCATCACTCAGTCTGCTGACAGCCAAAGAAAACAGGGAGCAGGTAAACGCTCCACTGGGCACCCCGGGGTGCCACGCCCTCCTCAGAGAAGCAGCTGCCGGTGCAACTCAAAGTCAATGAAGGGTTTTTTTTTTCTCTCAGTCTGTTCTTAGATTTAGCAACGAGCTCAGTTGCTTTTAATTCAACTTTGCTACGTAGAAACTATAGAGTCATTTTCAGACGCTCCCTACTTAGTTAGATTTGGCAACGAGCTCAGTTGCTTTTAATTCAACTTTGCTACGTAGAAACTATAGAGTCATTTTCAGACGCTCCCTACTTAGTTATTTAACTTTGATGTCAACGTGGCAAAGGCAAGTTCTGGGCCCACTGATCCACAGACACTTTCATGCAATTATGTCATTAATATCAATGATACCTAAGACCTAAGGAATCATTTTCTGCATCTTAATGATTTACTGAACCTGTCCAAACTGCTTCGTTAAAGACACAAAAAAGTGCCCGTCATAGCTCTTGCTACATACAAGTATTTTTTTTAAATGCACAGATTTTACTTATAGGAACCGTACATATCAATATCGTTGGTACGACTGTCAAAATTAACAAGTGAAAACATGGGCTGAATCACGTACACTGTATATCTGTCCATTTACCTTCGCTCTTATTCACAGATACACTGTATATCCGACGATTACACCATCCGTCCATTTACCTTCGCTCTTATTCACAGTCCATTGGGATGTTCTAGTTTGTGCACAGTGTGGGAAAAAAAACATTTCATTTCAAGAAGCAACTCAAGCTTCAAATACCCGCTCAACGCCCAGCACGTGTTTGTAGAGGCCTCACATCAGACCAGCCTCACCCAGCACAGGGCTACTGACTTACTGTAGTCTCTTAATCACAATTAATAACAATGAATCCACAGATACCCTGTGATTAATCCGAAAAAAAAAAAAGTTTCTCATGTGAAAGTTCTCATTTTATGGCCAACCGTCTTTTTATTATGTTTTATTTCCTTCTCTTTATCTCTTCATCCTCATTTTATGGCCAAACGTCTTTTTATTTCCTTCTCTTTATCTCTTCATTCCTCATCACAGATAAAAATCTCTGAAACCTTCCCACTGTGTTGGCTTGTTTTTGCCTCTCACCTCCTTCCTCCTGCTCTGGGTTCCCATGTGCTTTAAGTAAACACACCAACAATGTGTTGTTTCAACTTGTAAAATCAGTGATTCACTCGTCTCTTCCTTTCCTTCAGTGGAGGCAGGAAGGAGAAGCTGAGTCTCGTGAGCACAGAGCTCAGTCGTGAACAATCATTGTACCAGTTTGACAGTTGCAGAAAGACATAAAAAGATGCAATAAATAGTTCCACCAGTAGGATAAGGAACTCTTTACACCTGCTCCTGACTGAACTTTCGGAGTCTGTAAACAATGTAGTCTTCTATTTTCCCAAGCTTTTTTAACCTTCATGTGAATGTGTTTCTGTAATTATTGACATCCTTTTAATCAGAAGACAACCGTAGGGTTTCTCTTAACCTTGGCCACCCAGTACCTATGGTTTACAGATTATCTGGTAAGTCTGTATCAAACAAGTAGTTCTTCGTATTACCAAATGCCTGTGAAGTAGCTCTCAGTTTCAAAAATGTTAGTGACTGCTATTAACTCCTTGGAGACCTTTTACCCAAATCCATTAAAATCCTCATCATACTGGTTGATTTTGATGTATTAGCTATTAATTTAAAGGCCAGTGTGGGTCAGAACCCTGGTGTCCCCAAAAGTTTTTCTTTTGTTAGAAATTGCGCACCAGAAGTTAGCACAGTAGCACTGTTTGTTTCCTCTGGTGGCAAATAAAAAAGAAACGCACAACACAGCGCTATTTGTGGGATTGAATATCTCATCTCATCTCATCTCATTAAATTAACGTAGCAACAACTCAATTGAAGCTAATTAGGTCGTTTGAAACGCTATTTGTGTTAGCCACGTTTGCCGGTCGGTTCTGATCATCTCCAGATTGTGTCTGTTGCAGTGGTATTACGATCCCTGTCTAGTTTACATCGACAAACACATGAGCACTACAGTCAAACATTTATGATTTTCTTTTGTTTGCCGTGCCTCAGAAGTGCCTGTAAGGTGAAGCATCAAAGAGTTGGCTCGTGACGTTTAAGTCAGCTTTTATGATGTGTGAAAGCTGTAAGATATTATAAATACGTTCCCTGGAGCAGTGGGTTTGAGACACGCACCTCCTGGGCCTGGGATTTTCATCACAATCTCCTGAGAGTCGCTCTTTAGTCAACAAAGTAAAGGTTCTGGCAGAAACACTCTTTTGGTTGTTTCTAAATAATTACGGGATTAATGATACTCAATTTGAAAACTAATTTGGTTTTGAATGGAGGCTTTCACTCGCTCTTGAACATCTTTGATTTATTGAACATAGGTGGCGCCGTGGTGAGCCTAAGAACTAAAGATCCAAAGAAAACCCTGAGCGACAAGATTCCGTTGATAGCTGCGAACAGTTTTAAATCAAACAATCACCCTGAGACCTACACACGAAGAAAGGGCGATATTAGATTTTTCTAAGAAAAGTCTTTCTGTAGCTCAGAGCCAGGAGGCATGGGCCTGTTTCAATTGACAGATGAAAAGGAAAGGGAAAGGAAAGATGAAAGAGAGGGAGTGAAAGAAAAGAAAAGAAAAGAAAAGAAAAGAAAAGAAAAGAAAGAAGAGTGTGTGCACGTGTGTGGCCTGTTGTTTGGTTTCCCCGCTGTGAGGATTTACAAGGAAAAGAGGAAGCGAGTGATGCTTGGACAAAGAGTCGGCCGTTACAAACCACTGTCATTACGATAACACAGTCTGACTTCTGCAAACACTCACGTGTCTGTGTTTGTTTTTCTAGATCTGTGGCTATGGCGTGAGGGACGAGGAGTATAAGTGTGTCCCGT